GGGGAATTCTGGGAGTTGAAGTCCACACATCTTCCAGTTGCCAAGGTTGAGAAACACTGATATACACAGTCTCCTGTAGCAGAAACTTTAATTTAAAAATCCTTATGTACTTTTGCTAGATTTATATCTTGCTTTTTCTCTAAGAGGTCAAAGTGACAGATACAGTACTCCCTCCTCCATTCCCCCAACTCAAAACCACAGACCCAAAATCGGACTATTCCTTTCTATGGCTGATGATGAACTTGAACATGAACTTAATATTAGTCTAACTTCTTCTATTATTACTCCATACTGTGGTCAACTACATCAACATTTATGGGCAAACAGCAGCTGAGAGTAGATTTTTCAGCTGAAAATTGGATGGAAAACTTTTGAGGTTTGAAACACATTCCAAAGTAGAAACTCAGGGCTGCTTTTTATTTAAAATAAACGCGGTCATTATAAACCCATTTATGATATACAGTTTGGCCTATGTTCTCACAGAATCTGCTCTGATTGCACAAGAAATAAAGAGATGCAATTAATCTAATATAATTTGTATGGTTTTGCAAATACTTGATTTAGAGATTCAATTAGAATGTAATGCTATCAAGTCTCAGAACTGACTTTTTAAATTGGACCAATGATTCACATCAAATTGATTTTTTTTTCCAAAATTCAGAAAATTGGTTGAATTAATTTGATGCTCAAATTGGATTGCCAATCCAAGAAGTCAAATTGAAACTAATCAGCTGTTCAAAATGGAATCAATCATCAAACTGCATACTCCCAACAATTTGCTTACTAGCATTATATGCCAGGTGACTAACGTATGACAGCCAATTTAGTGTATTTAGGGACTTAACCTGAGTCCAGAGAAACTCAAGTTTGGGTCCACCAATCACTGGCAACCAGTACATCCTCACAAGAGTTGTTGTGAAGATAAAATGAGGGGAGACTCCACTGCCCTACATGCACCAACTTAAACTTCCTCCCTGTAATGGAATGTGAGGGTAACCTTGGAAGATGTGGGGGAAGAGATGCCACCAAGGGAACAATCAGTCAAAACAGAAAGGAGTCTGCAACAGAGTAACGTCCAGAGAAAGAAACTTAGGAAGGACCTGCCCTAATCAGGTGGTAAATAAGTAGGGCGGAAGATTTGTACTTTCAGACTTGCAATATGCTGTTAATGTAGCCTTACAATAAACTAGAATTAGTCCATCTAATCATGTTTCCTGTCTGGTTTACCTGGGAGAGCTGACATCAATCTTGCAACCTGCCTGAGTAGTTATGGTGGGTCCTTCCTAAGTTTCTTTCTCTGGACGTTACTCTGTTGCGGGCTCCTCCCCCTTTTATCTGATCATTCCCTGTGACATCTCTTCCCCCTCTCTTCCAAGGTCACCCTCACATTCCATCACACTCCCAGAGGAAAGTGTGAGGCACAAATGCAATGGATGAATGAATGGTAATCACGAAGGAAAACCTGGATTTCTTTGTAGGCATGACTTTTCAAAACAGGAAAACAAAATCCATCATAAAGGGTCTTGCAAATACACCTCTCCCTCACTTTGCTCTTCTTCCACTTGCCTTCACTCTTGTCATCATTTCTGCTTCCTAAAGTTTCTCCCTCTTTCCTCAGACTGTGGAGTGCAGGAGACAGCAACACCCCGAATTGTAGGTGGTGCTCATTCTATGGAAGGGGAGTGGCCTTGGCAAGCAAGTTTGCAGGTGCGTGGGCACCACCTTTGTGGGGGAACATTGATTGCAGATCGCTGGGTGATCACTGCTGCTCACTGTTTCCAGGAAGACAGGTAAATAAAGGTGGGGGTGGGTGGGAAGGGACTATTGACATTGGGTGGTTCAAGGTTCTTACTAACAATCAGAAAAGTGGGAAAATTTTGTGTGCATTTCTAATTTTTTTTATACTGGTACTTCTAGGCTGCTTCAATCAAACAAATCTAAATGGCTTAGACGTCCTTGATACATAATATGCATTTCTCTTTGTATTTTTATTTTATAAAAAAAAGTATTTTATATTTTTATCCATTATACAAGCATTTTCCTTTTATCACGGCCTTTAGAAATTATGTTTCACAAACATACACATTTGACAAAGTCATATTCTCTTTATATGTGCTTTTTTCCACAATATCAGGTGCCCTGGGTTTCCTTAAACAGATAAATTAATAACACTGAACAAATTGTTAAATATATGCATTTAAGCCTATGGTAAAATCCATAATCTTGTAGTAACATTTTTGTTAGCTTTTTGTTTCTCCTTGTTACTTGTTCTAGAGTTGCTCCTGGGAGAATATTGGGCAATATCCTTTCTGCTATTCCTCCCTATCCCACCCCATTCCTTTCCTCTCACTCCACTTCTTTTTCAAGATACATTCACGTATTAATAGATGTGTTGGCCTTTTGAGACACCATAAGACTCTTGCATAAACTGACAGGTCTACTCCTTTACTTATGGCCATTATCTAAGATCATTTTAACTGCTCCTGGCTTCTCTCCTCAGCAATCCTCTTTTCCCTCTCCTCCCGCAAACAACTACGTGCATACAGTGTTCTTCCCTTGGACAAGCCTCCCTACAGCAGATGCAATGGCTTGTGATCAACAAAAGCTTATGTATTAATAAAACCAATTAGTCTATAACAGTGTTTCTCCACCTTGGCAAGGTTCAGATGTGTAGACTGCAACTCCCAGAATTCCCCAGCCAGCAAGGCTGGCTGAGGAATTCTGGGAGTTGAAGTCCACACACCTGAAAGTTGCCAAGGTTGAGAAACACTGGTCTATAAGGTTCCACAAGTTTTGGGTCCTGGGCAGAGTTTGACCAGATATAAGACAGTTTCCTTTCTCCCCTAAACCCAGTCTCCTCTGAGCTGTATTGGGGAGCTGGGCAAATGAAGTATCAAGAGAAAAAAAAACAACTTGCTGAAGCTATTTCTCACCCTTTTGCTCTGCAGGCAGGTTTCCCCCACGGTCTGGACCGTCTACCTGGGCAAGCACTTCCTGAACGTCAGTAGCCACAATGAGGTTTCCTTCAAAGTGAACCGTATCTTGCAGCATCCCTACTATGAAGAAGATAGCCACGACTATGACGTGGCTCTGTTGCAGCTTGACCATCCGGTCATCTATTCTCCTTTCATCCAGCCCATTTGCTTGCCTGCCAGCTCCCATCTCTTTGAGCCTGGTCTCCTGTGCTGGGTCACTGGCTGGGGTGCAGTCACGGAAGGAGGTATTCGGCCCGTGGGTCCTTAAAGGCCCTTTCTTTTTTACTTAAAAGGGTATATCAGATACAATATAAAGGCTTCCTAAGCTTTTGCCAAAAGGAGCATGCAAAAACCTATGTCAAAAGCTGGCCAATGAAAAGCAAATTCAGAATACTGCATATGTACGAAGCTAAGGCCAAAAGTTGCAAGGGCTTTGCAGCAAGACGCTATCATGCTCCCCCTAGTGGATCTTTGCATAAATCAGTGTTGTCCAAACTTGGCCACTTGAAGATGGTTGGCTGGGGAATTCTGGGAGTTGAAGTCCACTCATCTTCAAGTGGCCAAGTTTGGACAACACTGGCATAAATCATGAAAACACTGCAGCATCCTGGGAATGCCAGGGGTTTGACTTCAAGGCTTGTTCCTTTTCTCCTTCCCTTCCATAAGTGTTGGAAGGGTTGCTCAGGAGACACTTTCAAGCACCTGGAATGAAAGGTAGTAAGACTCATTCCAGAACAGCAACTGCCAGAGGAATTATACTACTGGATCCAACCCCTTCTGTTAGGCGTAAACAGGGTGTCTTAATTACAAAATGATACCATCCCATCTCTTACTCAGTGGAGATTTCTCAAAGCAGGGGAATGCAACTACTAGTTTCACCCACTTTTCTGAGTGAAGCAGCTCAAAATCCACCCAAACGAATTACTGCACCCCTGTAGAATATGTGGGGATTGGAATTGTGGAATTTCATAGGAGCAGGAAATATCCTTTCTTTGGTCAGTCCTGCTAACTTGCAGCTCCTCTCCCACAGGTCCTACAAGCAAGATCTTGCAAAAGGTGGATGTGCAATTAGTTCGGCAAGACATTTGCAGTGAAGCTTATCATTATCAGGTCTCTCCCAGAATGTTTTGTGCTGGCTACCATGATGGCAAAAAAGACTCCTGTCAGGTAACTTTAAGCACTAGTTTCCATGATCTAGAAATAACCTTTTCCCACCTTGTGAAGCTGCTTTATTTGCATGCAATTTGCATGCACACTGAGTGTTGCAAAGGTCATTACTCAGAGCTTTCTTTTTCCTTTCCATTTGAACAATTTTTCCCCTGACCACTATTTGGTTTCACTTTTCTAGGGAGATTCTGGAGGACCTCTTGTTTGCCAGGAAGCCAGTGGCAAATGGTTTCTAGCTGGTGTGGTGAGCTGGGGAATGGGTTGTGCACGTCCCAATAACTATGGAGTGTATACCAGAATTACCAGTGTGATGGAATGGATGAAACAAACCATGTCAAACTGAGCAACGTTCTAAATTCTTCCTTTCATTACAAGGAAACACTGTGGAGGAGACACCTTCAGTCCTTCTCCCACTGTTCAAATAGCCTAAATTGTAAGGACATCCCATCCTACACCTGGCTCATATCACACCTGATATTCAAGTGTTGATCTTCAAAGGTGTTTTAGTGTGTGAAGAGAAAGAAGCATAGGAAGGCCACTGAGGAAAAATTGTTCAAAATAAATCCAAAACTTCAGATACTGCTCCAATGAAACAATAGAGAGGTATGGTTTCCTCCTTCTAAAGGTATTGATTGTTCTTTAAATTAGTTTTGATGGAGAATCCAAGGCATTAGGAAGGTTGATTCTCTTGAACATTAAACGTGGAAGTAGAAACTGGAAGCCTATCCAGTCTTCCTTGTATTATTTAAAAATCAATTCCAAATGGTAGTGACCAAAACACTGACAAATAGGAGCTGAGATTATATTTGTGGAGTGCTAAGGGAAGAGCATCAGATGAACTTTGTATTATTACTAGCATGACTTGTGCCTTATCTATGTGCTGATTATTTGAAAAATTATGCATGGATTTTCTCATGCTAAGATTGGAGTTTTTAATGAACACGTATGCAAAGAAGCCTGCAATGAGCAGAATACAAATGTATTTCAAGGTCACATCCCTATCCAGCAGTCGTCACCCACCCACTGCAGCTTCACCCCAGGCTACTCTCTGTCTTGGTGTGGATGTGATAGGAGAGTCCTCTTAGCTTTAAGATTGGCAATCCTAAAAAAGCCAAAGCAGACAACAGAGGCTATTGTCCTGTGTGAGTACCCTGTCTGCACAAAATGGCTGATCTAGTGATCCCTTTTCCCTGGCCAACAGATCCACCATCATGCTCTCGCAATGCACAATGTCTAGCAGCCATTTTCTTTAGTTCTCCAGGAAACAAGTGGGCAGCCATATCAAGGCAACCTGCTTCTACTCAAGGCATCAAGGTAGATTGACTCCCTTTGCAAAGCTGAGATTTTCTGCCTTGCATGAGATCATTTCATTGATCTGGACTGAAGAGCACAGCTGTTTTGCAGTCAAAATGTTTACTGCAAATTTAAGTAGGTTTCAGGCAGCTTACATCATTGGATAGTAAAAGAGAAATTCTGTCAATAAATGCAAGGGATCTGTAACTGAATAACCCCAGCACATGCTCAGAACTATAGCTTTGTGCAGAAATAATGAACTCATCTTGAAAATGCTTCAAAGGTTTCCCCCACTAGTGTACCTCTTGCCAGCAAGAGAATGTTTGTTGCACAGCATAAATTTAACATTTTTTATTTGCACAGTTGTGGCTTGTCATCCTCAGCAAAAAAAAAAAAAAGCTGTAGAGCTGGCCAGTCTTTATTTTAACATCCCATCAACTTGGACATACTCATTATAATGATGCCTACCACTTCAAATGTAGGAGGACTGTGTCAGGCTAGCATTAGGATATGGGTTGAAGCTATTGGACTTACTCTGAAGTAGAACCACCACCACCTCCCAAACGAGAGTGAATAGAAGAGTTGGCAAAGATAGCACAGTGCCTTATTAAGTTGGTAACTTGCTTGTTCTGGAAGTATTATCCTAAGGAGGTGGTTCTTCCCCACGTTTCATTTAGATTTAGTAAGCCGCTAGCAACGGCCCCATGCTTATTCATAATCAATTCCAAACCAATCAGCTTGGTTTCAGAACTAAAAACATTTTGGTGCCACCAGAAAACGCTCACAGTATTCTAAGCTAGTCCAAATTGTTTTGGCACTGAAGGGTGCGAAGTCTTTAAGAACCTCTGGTGGAAAGAATACATAACATAGGTGGAAATAATACATAAAATCAAAACCAGTAACTATTTTGTCATTGACATATAGCAGGTTCCTGAAGCCACTACTTCAACCTGGTAAAACTATTCATGCTTGGTTTGAATTGATAGCTTTTTAGGGTGCATTCTTTAATACTGGAAGGGTTTCCAGTGGCACTTCTTCAGTCATAACATTGAATTCAGGTTTTCACAGAACTGAGTAGTTGCACATCAAAGGCTGGATGCATACTTAGAACATTTTTCTAAGTGGCAATGCCTTTAAAAGAACAACTTTGAAATACTTCAGAGAAGTGAAGGCTGTGGGTGTTTTGATAAAGGCTTAAAGTCCAGATTCCTTATCAATAAAATTATAGCTGAGATTGCATACCATACTAAGTCATGGTTTCCTTAAATAAGCTATGATTTAACGAATAAATCCCAATTGGCTATAAACCAGTGTTGTCCAAACTTGGCCACTTTAAGATGAGTGGACTTCAACTCCACGATTCTGGAGTTGAAGTCCACTCATCTTAAAGTGGCCAAGTTTGGACAACACTGCTATAAACTATATTTGGAAAACACATTTAATTTAGCATGTTGTCTGAATACAACCAAAGGCTTCTGAGCCAGATGAATGGATAGTTACATTCAAGGAAAATACATTGCATGAATCACACCTTCTACTGATTATTAGAAGGGGAAAAATAGAAGATCTCCCTGTTCTTTAATAGCACTGGAAGTGAAATGTTAAGATCTGAAAGCTGCATCCTAATCTGAGACCACCTTAAAATAAAACAGCTTCTCAAGACCCACAACTTCAGGCAATGAAGGACAGTCTTTCCTGCTGGGGGGAAAAAAAACTGATTGGCACCAAGGAGATGCATGCCTAGTTATCTTTTGAACAAAATAAATAAATGAGTTGGAATCAAATGCCATTACAGAAGGATGCATTCCTATGCACACTCTCTACGGGCATGAGAACATGACACAGTAGTAATGAGACAGTGAAATTTATTCCGGAGTTATTACACAGCATCCTTGGACACAACTTTATAATTATTGTCTCAATTAACAGAATTATGGGTATCTCCATAGTAAACATGTGGCTTTATATTAGAAGTAAAATTTGTCGTCTTGTTGAGTTACATAAATGGCTATAATATTTCTTGGAGTATTGAAATGAAGCATGTACAGAGGTGGCTGTGTGTGCATGCAGAAACACATGCATTCAAGTGTATCAAAGGGCAGATGCTCATCCATTAGAATATTGTTACTAGCCCTCCTCCAATATCACGAGAAAGAATGGGTGTAGGGAAGAATGTATGTGCTTCCCTTCCGCCTGATCTTTTTGGATTGATGGAGAAAATGTGAGTGAGAATAGTATTTAGCTAAACATAGTTACACTTGTGCAACTGGGAACCCAGATTTGTGAACCATGCCCAATCCCACAGAAATTTAGCAGAATCACACAATGGGCTGGAAGGGGCAAGACTAGAGAACACATATCTCCATCTCCCTACTATGCATTTTTGCTCCTGATGCCAGAAAAGGGCTATTTCATAAGGATATTTTTAAAAAGGGTATCTCCCAACAGCTGCACAGATGGCATCTGCAAGACAAACAGAAGGTGAAATTGGTGGGACAGGTGGAATCAAGCCAACATTATTGCTGGGAAATGGTTAAGTCACAGTCATACCCGTTTTCTTCTTCCTAGTGGGTTGGCTAGTTGCATGCTAGAGGACATTCGTGTATCTTTAAAGCTGCCCATATGGAAATGCTTTCTTTTGAACAGGTCTTCCACTGGATGGTGTGCATATAAAGAAAATAAAAGCAGTTCCTCCTTCTCTAGGCTGTTCTCTTGGAGTTCCTGCCGCCCACTCCCTTGCTCTGCTTACCAGATGGCAAATCTGGAAAAGCTAATGAATTGTAACAGGCCTGGGAAATCACTGGCTGGAAAAGTTGCTCCAGCAACAGGAGATTTAGAAGGAAAATGAAATGTTTGTCAGCTTGCAGTTTGCCTGCCTTTAGATCTTCATGGGGTATGTTTCAGCAGCAACATCTGCCATAGCTTGCTGTTTTCATCAGAATGACAAAAGTCAAACTACACTGCAAGGTCTACCCTTTTGTACGTACGTATGATGCCACAACACATGTACAAAAGCAGTACAACCTTGCATCACAAGGTTGCTTTTATCATTCTGTCCCCCTATCCCTTGTCCTTGTCCTTCCCCTCAGACACTTCTGTGTTTCAGTAAAATCTGGTGCAGTTCACACCAAGCCAATCTGCTCAGTGATCCTCTTTCAGGAATAATAAGGTCTTGTTCAAGAAGGATTCAGCTCTCCTCCTTAATCTAAAGACATAAGGTATATTGGATCTGCTCCCAAGGAAGAACTGCCATTTGAACCCAAGCCAAGCTCTCCATCTAGCAGCATATCTACCAAAGGAGAAACACTCCAGCTGGCTTCTTTCTACAGAATGTAACATATTTTCTTATGCTGCTCTTTGCAGCTGGGAATGGCACTTGAGAAACACAATATGCAAAACAAAGAGCAAATATGGAAAGATTGCATCTCTTTGTGCTTCCTCTCCTTCATACTGCAAGGACATTCCTGCATGCCAAAATGTTAGAATGCATTTAATAGTGATGGTTGCCCACAAAGAACAGGGATTGTCATTTGCAGCAGGATGCAGGATATTCATTGTTAAAAACTTCTGAGGTCCTTTCCAGAACTTCATCTGTTCCCCCACTGAGCAAGCCTGAAACCTGCAAGGCTAGAAAAAGGAGTAACTATGGTTGTGTGTGCTTTACTTTGTTCTCCCCAGCAGGGGAAGCTATAACAGCATGGAAAGTCAACTTTTGGGGCCATGAGGAGTAAGTTCTTGAAAGTGCATCCCACATCTCCCAAAAATACTAGAAGGGTAAAAAAGTAATCCAATATTTTGCCAAATAGCAGAACATGCAGCAATTAGAAGGTGCTGCTTAGAAAGTAAAAAAAATACAATACTTCACCTTATTGTAACAACCCACTCCATTGTTTTTTTTTTAAATAACAGTACAAAAATAAAGACTTAAAAGTCAACTTTAAAAAGAGAGATTGATCATCGTTAGCATCATATCCTGAGACACCTGATTTGTAACTGCTTAAAAAAGTTGCAAGGATGAACAAGGGCAAAAGGCAGGAGAAGCGAGAAGGAGAAAACAAATGAATAGGATACAAGAGAGAGGATAATAGTAGTAGCTTCAGGTGAATACAGAGCACCAGTGGTCTCAAAGGCTACATGACCTTCAGGCCACAGCAGAGAGCCAAGACATTCCTGCAGAATCAAAAGATGAAGAGACCTGCCTCTGCTAGGACCTCCCATTGCAGATGATCACAGAAGGGATGCCTTTGTGAGCTGGGCCTTAAGGATGTCTTGATCCTTCCTTTGTAACAAAAGACAAAGCCCACCTATGAGTTAAACCCAATCCACTGGAAGAGGCCAGTGTTGCTCATCAGCAAAGAGTTTATTCCCATGAGACAAGGAGATACATCAAGAGGAGGACAAGTATGGGTACTTCCATACAAAAGACTAACAACAATCTTCTTCCTACAGAATTAGCCAGACAGTATTAGAAAACCTCAAATGGTAAGGCTAATTATCATATTCTCTATTTTGATTCCAAATGAAATCAATGGTTTTAAGAGCACTTAAATCTGTACTGGATTGCTGCTGGCATCTAGAGTCTGGTTCAAAATCTGGCTTCTTGGGAATACCAAATTTAAGTTTGTAGTCTTAAGGTTATCAGGTAGGGAAATAGAAACAGGAGATTTGACTTACCACTGAAGGTCCTTTCTTACAGTGGAGACATTGCATTCTAAAGAGAGTATTTCCTTCCTATTCATCCCATAGGAAAAGCTAGAAAAGGTTTAACACTGCTTCCTATAAAAGAGTATACCTCCTTTCCAGTTGTGGACTGACATTCCAGACCACAAAAAGGGGGGAAAAGTTTTTTAAGAAACATATGAACAATATAGACATTAGACTATGGGCAAATATTATTTTCCCTTTTTAATATATCAGGTTGGGTTGGATGCCCTTATCCCCACTGTAGAAAAAGGACCTTCACAGTAAGTTTGTTTGTTTAGCAAATTTATATAGCTGCTCACCTCAGAAAAAGTGACCCTGGGCGGCATACAAGAAGTTCATTATACAGTTTTCCTACAGCGGAGCTAGGGTACTCTATTCTTCAGCCACTATTACCTCCTTGTGGCAACAATGACCACCATACCTCTGGCTAAAAATCCACCATGAAAGCAGCAGCCTTAGCTAGTTGTTCATACCTTATGTGAGCTCCTCCTTTTCTCAGTGGGATTTGCTGAGATAATTTGGACCCAGTTTTCTGTTTGGATCATAGAACAGAAGCCTTGGCCATGACTGAGGTAGCAAGGGTGTACAGGAAGAGTAGTTTGGGCTAGCTGATCCACAAAGAATTGATGTTTCAGTTGAATGTATACACTCTGTAGTATATATGGCCAGCAAATGACCTCTTCTAATGATCATGATGGATAATGAGCTTAATGAACTATATGATGAATACTCAGTTTAATGAAGTATATACAGTCCACATGAACACCATGGGATGCGGTGGCGCAGGGCTTAATGACGCTGGAGTTTGCCAGTCAGAAATGGTCGGCACTCCAGCGGTTTGGGCCCGGCTCCGTGGGACGGGGTGAGCTTCTGTCACTCGTCCCAGCTCCTGCTCACCCAGCAGTTGGAAAGCTATTCCATCGGTGAGTAGATAAATGGGGACTCCCGTTTAGACCGGAGGAACTGGCAGTGCTGTGCGGGGGAGCAAAATACCGGTGCTGGCCGAACTCCGAATGCAACCAGCACGAGCAATGATCGATGCGAGCGGCGAGAAAAATCTACGGAGGAGGAAAAGCCCGGATGACCCCCTAGTGACCACTGCTGGTCACATATAGCACTGTAGATTTGTAATTGTAACAGTTGTTAGTCACTGTTAGGATTATATACTTTGTGAGCCGCCCAGAGTTCCCCATTGGGGGGAGATGGGCGGAGAATAAATCGAATGTATAAATAAAATAAACACCTAGGTGTGCAGAAATACAACAGCGTGACTGAGTAGACTAAAGCAATGATGTGCCAAAAACTAGGAGAAGATCAAAGAATGATGAAAAGATTCAAGTACCAAGAATCAGGACATGGCTTCCACAATCAAGAACTGCCAAATACTTTCTAAACCATCTTCCAAATTGTAACAATATTCATAATAAGATTGATGAAAAGTAGCTGATCAAGGTCCAATACTTTTAGGTTATAAAACAGTAAATTTTGTTTCCTCCCTCATAAGAAGGTGGTTTTTATAGCGAGGAATGTGACCATATTTGCTTTGTGTTGGAGGATCTCATTTTTCTGTCTTCAGGGTATCTGAGGTTATCTACCACATCTTGGTGAAATTAAAAATAAAATCTGCCATGGGGACATCCACTGTAGAGGTCTGAACCACTCTAGGGCAGCCTGAGGGGAAATATGGGGTTTCATGGCCATGGAGGAGCCAGCCCTCACAATCATATTCTACTTCAAGAACTTGATTGAATGTCTTGAGATATGAGGGAGTAGGAAGTTCTGGCTCCTTCAGGCCAAGAGGCTTACAGACTTTACTGAGATGCTCAGGAAAATCTGATTTTTTGGAAGCATCTGATGGATTTGGGGACTGTTTGTTCTTCCTCATCCAGAGACAACTCCCTCTTTTCCCCATCTGACCAGTCCTGAGGGGAGATACCTGAGTACAATGTACAATAAGGGGTGGGAACTGGGCACCCCTTCATTTGATTGTCTGCCTTTTTCCCCTATGAAGATCTAGAAGGGGCAGGGAGAAGAGGAGCTGTACCTTTTGCCTACTTCCATGTTTGAATCCAGTCAGGAAACCCCAAAATGGGGTATCCTGCTCTTTTTGTCCCCCAGTTTGCCAACGGGATGGTTGGTCACTGGTATGGGGCCCAATCCAGAGAGGCAACAGTGGCTGCATAGCATATAGCTACCAACTCAGTAATTGAGACATTGGCCAAAGCCTCTTGGGAGAGGACAGTGAGGAAACAAGATCGTGCACTGATGTGCCACTGGAGGCCAGCTCTGGTTTGGCCCCAGCCATTGGGGAGATACTTCCACAGACAACAGACTGCTGTTGGTGGCCATAGCAGGAGGTCTGCTGAGTTTACAGGAGAAAGAGAAAAGGGAAGGGAAGGGCCAAAGGAAAAATAAAAATCTGGAGCTGAAAAACAGCCAAAGTAGAGGGAATGCTTAACAGCTGACAGGCAGTATACTCTCTGGAGCAGGCAGGGCTCAAGCAGGAAAGGAGACAATCTTCGTAGCAGAAGCAACATCAAAACCCTTCCAAGCCTGGGAAGGAGATATCACACTACAGAACACTCTGGCTTCACTGAAGGTAAAAGCAAGATTGGCAAGAAATAGGAGGTGCCTTGATGCAGCTGAGTAACAAACATGGTGAGAAGATGGAGATATTAGGAGTCTCTTACATTTGGGGACAAATAGGCACATTTTGAGAATATGTTATAGGAACTCTCACAAAATAGTGGCCATGGTGGGTGTCATTCATTACTAAAAACTCCAACCACAGAGAACAAGAACAGCAAGGTCTAGAGCCATCCATCATTTCATTTTCTAAGAATGCCTTTGGAGATCATGGGGAGCACAGAGGCAGAGTAGGAGATTTGCTTATGGCTGATGCTTTGCAGCATGCAAGCTTCTCACTTATTTCTTAAATTAAAAGAACCTTTTAAAAAGGTACAGCAAGGAATTTGGTGAGCACCAAGTAACGTATAAATGGAGTACAACGCTATCCCTCAGTGCCCTATTGAAAATTCAGCATGTAGATCTCTCCTGTTTCCAGTCCCTCCCTGATTGCTCTTGCCCCATCCCAATTTTCCCAGGTCATTCTGTTTGTTCATTCTTCAGCATCATAATCAGAATTAAGCATATGAAATGAATTGCAGATTGCAGAGTTTATCCTCAGCAAAGACAGACTGATTTTTGCAGGATGAAACTTTGGTTTTTCTTTTAGATCACAATGTAAGTAACAATATAAGGGCGGAGTGGAAGGATGAATAGCTGCCAAAAGCATAGCACAAACCTGGCATGCAGAAGAACCAAACTCAGTCTCTGGCTTCTCCAGTTAAAAAGATCTCAAGGAACAGAGGTACAAAAGACTCTCATATGAGACCCTGGAAAGATACTACCCATAAGAAAAGATACAGCCAAGTCTGAAAGGTCAAGCTCCAATTCATTTTTTTAAAAGGCAGCTTCGTATGTTCAGAAGTCATTTCACAGCTCCTCTCCTCCTGCATGTAATCTTCCACTGTGATACTCCTTCTCTCAGAATCATGAGACTTATTCTGGAAGACAAATTCAGGATGGCCTCAGTCCAGACACCACCACCTTAGCAAAAGAGTCCAAGAAAAAGGAAGGTGGTGGGTAAGTCACACGTAAAAGGCGTGATGGTGCAGATGAAGTGTTGTCTTTACCAAACAGAATGGGAGGAGAGGCCCAGAGAGAAAAGTCTAAACTAGGCTACGATGCAGGATTCTTGGCTCATGGAGGAAAAGGTAGGATTGGAAGTGCAATCAAAGAAATAAACATTACCGGGAGGGGGAGGGGGAATGGAAAGAACAGAAAGTAAAAGGCCTCCAAAACGTCACAAGAAGAAAGAGAATTGGTGGAATCTTGAGTAGCTGGAGCTTGCTACAAATTTAGTATAAAATAAACAGTTTAGACGAAAATGCAAGAGCTGCCAAAAGCAGAGTTTTCCCCCACCTCTCACCAGCCTTAGGCTTCTGTGTATTGCTTGATGCCCACGCAGGCACTCCATGCACCCTCCTTTGAAGCTCCTCCACCACCAGCTTGTGCTGGAAAAGAGCAGATGGCTTTACCCTTTAGTTGATGACTTTGGTCATCTTTTTGCTTAAAGATGTGCTGCACCTTTCTCCTCTTCTGCTTTGGGGGCCTCCTCCTGCCCTTCCTCAACTTCTTGCAGGTGCAGCTCCTCATCCTTCTGCTCTCCTTGTTCTGGACCTTCCTCAGTGTTCTGTGTTGCAGCAGGCAGCACCAAAGGAGAGAACAACAGAAGAACAGAAATACCATCAACAGGAAACAGATGATTCTCCCTCCTTTGAAAAAGGCTCTGGAAAAGAACTTCAGCTTTGGGTTTAGATAACTAGTGTAGCCCAAAGGCTGAGAGAATAATTTAAAATAAAGAAGTCCCCCAGATCATGTCTAACATTTGCAATCAGCTAGCTCCAGGTTGCATTTCAGCTCCCATCATCTCAGCCAGCCCAGCTAAAAGGAGCAGTAATGATATAGATTTATCTTACACTATTATTTATAGGGGTTACAGTTAGATCAGGGATAAGCAACCTTTTGAGTCTGAAAGCACCCTTGGAATTTCGAAAGCATGTTGTGGGCATTTTTTGCACAACGGATACCAGGGAAGGCTAGCCTTTTCAAAAAATGGCTGCTATAATGGACATTGCCAACCATAAAACATCCACTACCAGAAGATAAGGTCATCTTCCCACAAGATGCCTCCTAAAATCTTTTGTAGGACCAAACGGGATTCCTGAAAATATCTGCTTTGCCCTGCAATATTTCAGCTTCCCATCTCATTTTTTTAATTAAAAGAATTTTTTTGAAAAGTTAAGTGGATCAGGGAGCCTGCTGAGGGTCAAGAGATATATCTCAGGCACAGGATCAAGGACATCATGTTACCTTTGCTGAACTAGATCATGCACATGAAGCACTGTAAATATATGATGCAACTAATATTTTGTCAATTAAGAACTTCAGGCAAATCACCTCACTCCAGAAAATCCCTCACTCTGGATTCTCAGGTAACAGAAAACTGAGCAGGACAATGCCACGCAGGAGTATGCAAAATGCCTGCAATTCTAACGAACTATGGATTTATCTGAATTTTGGATTTTCACATCTATCAAAAGAAATAGGCATCAAAATGTAATTCAGCTCCATCTCTCCATATGAAAAGAGTGCAATATATTCCTCAATCTCCCCAAAAAGACTGTTTTTAAACGGTAGAGAACATGGACCAATTGCAAATCTCTGCACTCTTGGAACTCCAATGCATCCTCCAACTGGGATTCTGGTCACCAATAACTTTGGTTAAGTGTCAACACTGATTCTGAATGTTAGCTTAGAAATAAACATTTCTGAAACTAGATTGGACATGATAGGGTACAACAAAGAGCAAGTCTTAACAAGTTTGCCATCTGATAGTTGAAAAGATAAGCAGTTGAGAAAGTAGGTCGTTTAAAATTCAGGATGTTAAGGATTGCCCTAACCTTGAATTTCCGGCTGGATTCAGGGCAAAGGCCGCTGGGTGAGCTGCACAGCTCCTTCGAGACGACACACAGGAATTCTGATTGGTCCTCATTCCCATAATTATAGGATGACCCAATATTCACTAACTGTAGAAAGAGATAAATGAATGCTTGTTATGCCAAATGATGCAAAACTGAGGACATTTCTGGTCTGAAAAAGAACAGAACGTTTGAAGAGGGCAAATATCCTGGAACTGGTGCAGAAGACTAACGTTAATACAGGTATCCTCCACGGTGGTCTGTATGTGGCAAAAGAAATTCACCATGTTTTTCAGCAGAGCCAAAAAGCACAATCTGCCAAAAGATTTTTATTATGCCATAGAAATGAATGAATAGCAATGAATAGAGTCTACCAACTTGTCATTTTCCACTCAAAATTTTCAAATGTAGGAATTTTTTTTAAAGAGCTTCCACAAAGTAGCTGTTTCTTGTCCCTTTAAAAAATAGGAACAGAATGGAAAAAGAATGACCCAATTTTAAAAAAATAAAATAATGCATTTAAACCATATTAAGTATACCCTTTGGGGGAGATGGGCAGCATACAAATTTCATAGATACATACATACATACATACATACATACATACATACATACATACTGTTACTTTTCTGAAATCAAACTGTCTTCACAGCACTCCAGACTGTCAGTTGCATGGCATTGCAGATTTTCCCAGGCAAGATCCTCCCGAGGGAGGATGCTTACTATAGCATGTAGCAAAATAGGATCCCCCCAGCCTCTCCCCTTCTTTAAAGGAAAAGCTTTTGCCTTTTAAAAATCCAAGAGAGATATAACAAAGCAGGGTTAGGAAAAGGAGCTAAGGAACATTGCCCCTCAAACTCCAGTTAAGGTTGGAATTGTCTAGGATCTGAAACATCCAGCAAAACAAGCAAGAAATGTTTGTGGCAGTGATCCATTTATCTCTAAGGAATAGGTAACAAGGTTGAGCTAGAAATATTGCACAAGATTAATTTTGGCAGATGTATAGCCATTTAAGGTTTATGGTTTATAATATCTATTGTCTCTGATGTGTATTATCTCTATGCGAGCTCGGTGACTGTATGTCTTCAGTAACAGACCAATACAATTTCATCTTAACTTTTCTTGTGTATCCAAGACTAAGTATAAAATTCTTCTTGGGAATAATGGTAGCCTAAGATTTGGGAGTATCATCAATTCATAGTTTATGCCTGCAATGTTACCTGTACTAATTAAAAAGCACTGAAAGCAGTGGGACATTCCAATAATCAAGCACAAGATTACATGAAGTGTCTTGCATGACAACACATATCTATTAAAAAGTAAGCTCCATAAAGTTTAGTAGAGCTTACTTCCAGGTATACAGCCAGAAATAGAAAAAATTGACTGATAGAGGCTATTAGGTCATTATCATGTTTCTTCCTTCTTTGTATCTGGTCGAGAAGAGCCATATAAGAGCCAGACAGATGCACAAGTGAAGCATAACTGCATATTCCATTAAAAAACCCTCTTGAAGATTCTGAAATCACTATCAAATTCTACACTGGGAAATCTATATTCATAATCTTGCATACCTGTTCAAAGCGCCACCCATCTGACATTGTAGAAACCATTTGTGTGAGCTCTTCCTCCTGACACTGCAGCACTCTGTAGACGTGCTTTGGTGGCACCTAGAAGAAGCAGGACAAGCAAAAACAGACCATATCAGCATGGACTTTCCTGTCTACCTCTGTAGATTTTCTCTTAGTAAACAAAGCCAGGGAGTTGCTTCCCACCCTCAATACTGGGTCCTGGTGGAGAGAACTCTATGCTATAGCAATCAAAGACAGAAGCAATTGCTGGTTGTTGGAACATCTATATATGTGATTAGATTGAAAAGCTAGATGCCCTGAGAGAAGAGCTGTAGCTCACCAAGTGAACATCTTCTGGCAGGGCTGAGCTAGGGACGAAGAATGCAGAGAGTTTTCTGGCAACCAACGTAGGTAATGCTGGTGCAGGAATGATGTGACTCATTATAAGACAAAAAGAGCGAGCAGTTCTGCACTTGAAAGGAGGAGAGGAGCATGAAGTTTCATGCATGAAAATGGTTTGAGATGAAGCATTTTGCACTATTCTCACACACAGAGATTTGGGGCAAGGAAACATTGAGTAGATGATACATGAGAATAAAAAGTAGAATCTGCCTCACAGGTTTAGTCATTATCTCCAGTTAAAAGGGATCTAGAAGTATAGACTTCCTCATTTCAGCAACCTCCAGATGGGTTGGGATTTCAATTCCCAGAATTCCCAGCCCATATTGCTTTGATCATTTGGGACTAAAACTAAAATTGTGCCCACACATCTGGAAGGCACATGGTTGGGGAAAGCTGCAGTACTGTATGAGAGTTGCTGCCAGTTAGAATAGAAAATATATGGACAAGTAGTCTAATACGTGAAATCCTAGGAGATTTTCCAGCTTCTCACCTCTCTCATAGCAGCAGTCAAAGGCCAGGAGCTAAGACTATTGCCTTTTCACCACTCCCAGATATGAACTTCTTCCCCCAAAAAATACTGACTGGATTTTCAGGAATCATTCTTTCATCCTTTCCAGTTGTATAATTAAGACAGAGTAACAAGTACCTAAAAATTAACTGAATTAATTAGTCCCTGCTTTAAGAATTAAATACTGACTTGTTTATTCCCAGTTCTGTAACATTTATTGTTCCTCCATTTCTCTCAAATATGATTCTGACATTTCCCAACCCACCTGGGTTATAGTGTAATCCTTTTCCTCCAGTCTGTCTTTTATTAGTCTGATTAGAGACCCAATGTTGTAGAATTCCGCTTCTTCCAGAACTCCTAATAATAATAATGGCAGAGAGCATAAATAAAACACTAAGTACTGAGCAACCTCACTGTCAACTAATATTAATAAACATATAAACATTATTAAATTAAGAAGACTTGACAATTCTTGAACTTAACTCATATCAGAATTATATGCTGCAAGAGTGTAATGTTTTTTAGAGAGATCAAATTTGGAAAGGCAATCAGGATCTGTGGGGAAAAGGCAAGACTATAATGAAAAATCACATAAGAGAATAATTCTAATTTAACATACTGGGACATATTTAATACTAAATGTATGTCTTAGGTCTATGGCTCTGTTCAAATGCACACAATCCAGAATTTTTAAAGAAGAAACCATGTGACATTGGAAACAGAACTTTATCCACCAACACTGGAGTGAGCACACAAGTGTGTCTCTTTCCCACAATCTTGCCTGCTGCAAAATGAGGAGACAATCTTGATTTAAGAGAATCAGATCATCACAGAAACATACAACTGAAATAGATCTCAATAGATCACCAAATTTTACCAATACAGAAATTGAGTGATATAACATCAGGAATAAAATAGCCATATAGCCTCTCTTAAAATTCCATAAGGCAGCCAGATGCACTGTTTAACAGCTTGCATCATCAGAAAACTCCTTCAAATGTTTATTCAAAGTTGCCTTATTTGTATTTCAAATTGCTGGCTCTAAAGCAGCAACAACAACAACAACGCAAATTTGTTTTATCAACAAGGTGAAGGTACTTCAAATATTTGAAAATGGCTATATTACCTCTTAAATATCCCTTCACCAAAAGTCAACTCCTCCAAAGTAGCCTTCTATAGAATTATCTCCAGGTTCCCCTGCTACCATCTCACCTGAAAAGCTGTCTGTTTTGTCCATTCTACCCTATTATACTACTCAACACACTTTTGTACTGGTCACTGACTTTTCCATTCAATCCACATACATTCAGCACCCATTCATCCTGGACTCCATCTCTTCTTGCATTTAAGTACCTGATTCCCACTGCATTCAACTTACTATTATGTTTGTCTTCACATATTCAGTTCTAACTTTCACACAGCTAAGAGGGCAGAAGCATACTCTTATAGAGTCATTTTGTGATTCTTCAACAAATTCACTTCTTGCAACAGTTAACACCACGACCCACCACTTTTCTACTGGTATTTGCATTATCTTAAAAATTCTCCATTATTTCCCCATCTACCAAGGCACACTATTTCATCTGTTTGCTCTAGCTTTTGGCCATTTATGTATGCCGTATTTACTCCATTTTTCTTTTCAACTAAAAGTATCTTACATTAATTTTCAGTTCAATACTTCTCATTGCATCATACAATCTACAGGTAGTTCTCGCTTAACCTCTATTTGTTCAGCAACTATTTGAAATTACAATGGCACTGAACAAAGAGACTTACAATCCTTCTAGCTGGGTCTTTCTTTTGCAAAAGAAGGCCCTGGCTGGCTTGCAAATGGAGGCTCTGGGTGGGGCGTGAGAGAAACCATGGTGGCACCAGCATGAAAGAAGGCGACGCAAAGAAGGCCCCAGCCAGTACAGTAGTGGCGCATGGTGTGGTGGGGATGGTGGCAGGCAGGGTATGGTTGTGGGGGCAGTTGGCAGTAGCAGGTAGGCGGGTGGCCAAAAGGGCAGAGATGAGAGGGAGATATGTGAGTGGGGGAGTTCAAGGGGAGGCAGAGGAGGCAGTCCCTTACCATATCGAGGCTCGGGGCTGGGAGGAACCAAGCTGGGAATGGCTTGGATCGGGGTGTCCTCGCCTAACAACTGGTAGGATTCAGTTAATGATGGCAACAGAGACTACCGGGATTGCCGTCTCCAAGTGATGCGGTCACCTGACATTGCGCTTTATGACATCATTCAGCAATGGACATTCCAGTCCCAACTGTCATTGTAACTCAAGGACTACCTGTATTTAAATAATTAAGATTCTCAACCAACTACACCAGTATACAAAAGTACAGGTACATTCATGTCCCTAGCCAAGCACTCTCAAACATCACCACACGCAGTCCTTATACTATTACTATAAATACTTTAAACAACTAAGGGGATAACAACCTAATCTTACTCCCTGCTCAGTGTTGAACTATTTGCTAAGCATTCCACTTATTCTCATGTAGGATCTCTTTCCATCATACGCTGCTCTTACCGTATTCAGTAAATAACGTCAACTCTATATTTATGCGGAAGGTTTCAAAATTCAAGTCTATTTACTTTATCATGTACTTTCTCTAAATCAAATATACAATAAATTCTTTCATATGTGTATATTTTTCAATGACTTACTGAAGATTAAAACTCTGGTCTGCACATCCTTTGCCAGATATAAAAACACAATGCACTTCTCAAGATTTCCTCACCGTCACGTTTTGTACATTTTCTATCAGAATTCTGCAAAATCTTTTTTCAGGCACAGAAAAAACTAATCCTTGTACTTTTTGCATCCACTCCTGCTACCTTTCCCTTTGTATAGAGAAACAATATTGTAATTTATTTGATCTTCTGTCTTCACAGCAACATTAAAGTTGCAGAACACTCCATTAGCAAATCAGAGCCATATATTAACATTTCTCCCGTTTTGCAACCTATATATGCAGCCTTACGATTTCTAAACATTCTCTAGTGTTTTTTAAAGCACAACAAAGCATTTGTTTCAATTTACACTTCAACATACCATAATCATAACCATACAAATCACTAAATATTCCTTCCAGCATTGCCTCATTTTCACTTCATCCCAAATCATTTCATCACTCTTACTTTTAATTCCATTCCCTTTACTGGAGTTCCTTGCTTAACCTCACATACCCCTTTTCAAAACATTTCAGTTATTATTCTACCAAGATTGCTCTGCATTTTCTCTGCCTCTGAATCTTAACCATTCCTTGCTCTATTTGACTATAGTTTCTCAACCATCCTCTTCTGTCTATATGTATTATGCAGTACATTTCTCTCAGTGTCATTTTTTTGCAGGAAACATTTTCTTATAAAGATTTTTTTCTCTCATGTACAGCCTTTTTTCACTTCATTCCAGCAAGCATCCTTTTTCATACTTCCCATTTTAACGCTTCCACATACATCTGTGATATAAGGTAAATATCTCTTTTCATTCTATTTCAAGCAACTTCCACCTCAAATTTATGTCCACTTCTCATTGTTTCTGTTAGAACACTAATCTATCTTCCAATACCTTTTCATACATGATTATCATACTCGATCCTTATGGTCCCTTCCAACTCTACAATTCTATGATTCTTTGTCCACTTCCTCTGCTTCTATTCTGATTTCCTTCACATTTTTTTTCTTTCCATGCCCATATTTTTCCAAGAAGCAATCTGAAACTGCCAAGTAATGTCTGTACCACATTCAGAATCTCTCATCATTCTATTGCTCACTAACTCTCTCCATCTCTCATCATAAACAAATCAGTTATGCTTTTAGACTGACGTTCATTCCTTTTCCATGTGTACGTGTGAACAGACTAAAACATAAACCATAAATTCAAAACAAGCACGTATTTCTAAGCAGACATGCACCCAATAATCATCATTTTCATTCAGTTTTGGAACTCTGAATGGTCTCAATGTTTAGCTCATTCCCATCCATTCATTCAAGTCATCTAATCAAGTAATTTTTCTCCAGAAGCACTTTCAACAGAATGTTGCACAACTTTTGGCAAAATTAAGCTTGCTTCTTCCCTTGTCATAGGAATGTAACATTCACCAAATCAAATCAAATCAAATCAAATCAAATCAAATGTATTAGATTTGTAAGATCACTCAGTTCAGAATTACTCCGGATTCCTACTTTCATGAGCATTCACAGCTACCGAATGCTACCAATTCATACTTTCTGACACACTTTAGCCCTTTCATTAATAATTAAACCTACAGTTTCAATCTTCTACACTTATTTATCAACTCCACTCAACAAGATTAACCCACCTTCATTCACATCTATTACATTCTTTCTCTTAGTTTCACATTTGCACAATGTATCTATTTTTCTTTCATTCCTTTTAATTTTTTAATTATTAATAATAGAATACAAGCAACTACAGCACCAGCAGAAAAAATATAGTAGTGGTATATAGTGAGAAAAAGAATACATACATGGTGGTGATTAAAATGAACATAATAAAAAGGAAATATGGGGAAACTAGTTAAAGGAAAAGAAAAAGAAAGAGCCATATATTTTTCATTTAGTATCAATATAGAATTCAATCCTTAAGCTTATTATTCAGTCAAGACCATATGGAAACATATTGCTTTATCTTCTCATGTTTAGAACAAAAAAACTTTTAAAAAATAGATAAGGTTCATATTCTGAATTCATTCCTTGGTATCAGGAGGATAAATTTCTTTCCATTTACATAAGATTATCCTCATTGCCAAGCCCCAGGCTTAGTAAACCCAAAAGCTTCATATTTTAGGAATATAGCTTGGCAGCCCATTTATATCTTTAACTGTTATATTTTTGCAAAAAGAAAATAAATTAACCAGCATTTCTCTATCACTCCTTTCTCCTCAGTTTGAAAGAAGACCAGGTATCTCAATAGCTTGTATGAAATGAGATAAAGAGAAAACATGAGAAAAAATATTTCTAAGTATATGAGTAGAATGCTGGAATGTTCTTCTCAGAACCATTCTCAATAGCAAGGCACTTAATACTGTATAAATAATTATTAGGCAACAAAGTGTAGGGGAAATTCTCGAGTTCCTCCAGCTCAGTGAGTCTATATTTAGTAGAATATGTGCATGTGAGTAGAACCAAGCCCATTAAAAATATCTGGAAAAAATTACTTCAGACTCAAAGGGACATTTTTATTAAGGAAATAGCATGCTCAGATAGAAGGCTTGCTTCTTTGAGCTTTCTATTCTCATGGTGATAGAGGAAGAGGAAGAGGAGAGGAGACAAGAGCTCTGTTCTTCCTGATTTCCTCCAATCAGGCAAGAGAGAACAGAAATAAAGAGAGCAACA